TTGGGGTAAGGCTGATTGCCCTGGGGGGGTGGGGGGTAGTTCCCGGGGGAGGGGTTGGACCCGTAGGCCCCCTGGGCTGGGGGCTGATTGGGGGGTTGGTAGTTCGGTTGGGGACTCGGGCTGCCGTACTGTCCGGGCTGCTGCTGAGGTGGCTGTTGAGCATTTTGAGAGAAGTTTTGCTGGGTTGAGGTCGCTGGGGAGTAACCCTGCTGGTTTGGAGGGGGGGGCCCGTAGTTTCCTTGGGGCTGGGGACCTCCTGGCGGGGGGTAGGCCCCTGGTTGACCCCCGTAGCTGTTGACCGTTGTGGGGGGCCCGTAGTTCTGCTGGGAACCGGCTGGGTAACCTTGCTGCTGAGGGGGGTTGGAGGGGGCGAACTGGGCTGGCTGGTTGGGCCCGTAGGAGGGCCCCTGGGGACCCTGGTAGTTCCCGGAGGGGTTCTGGGTACCGTAGGACGCCGGGTAGCCCTGCTGACCCGGCTGCTGGGGGTAGCCTTGCGGACCTCCTCGGAATTGCTGGGGTCCTGGGCCTGGATTCACTCCTGGGGAATTATTCATTTGACAGTTTTCAATAATCAATTTTTGAAATTGTGTACGGATTTAATGCATTTGAAAAAGAATTTATTTATTTAAATTCTTCTATTTGACGTTCCCTTATTGAAAAAAAAAAACAAAAAAAAATTAGTTCTTTTTCCGGAAAAGAAAGCGTTTTCTGGGAGAATTCTGAATATGCAGGAATTTATGATTTTAGAAAAATTACTGTTGGGGTGGACATACTATTGTTTATTGATTATTCATGAAAAAGGTGATGACTTCAAAAATGACAATGTCTAGTTATTTTGTAAATCTTCTTAAAAAAGTAGATTTTAAAATTTTTCGGGATTTTTAAAATGTTTTTAAAGGTTAAAAATGGGGAAATGGAGGCTTTAATGCTAAATTAGGAGTCAAATTCAAGGGGAATTCGACGACAAAAATGATGAAAATATTTCTGAAACAAAGTATCACGGTTTTTTGCATCTCGTGAAATCTACTAGAAAAAAAACCTCAAGTGCATTAAAAAATTTCCTCTACATAATTTTGGAAATATCTCTAAAAGCCACGTGTCAAAAGTACTGATAGAAAAATAAGAAAATTTTTTTTTTCAATTTATTCCTCATAAAAAACTCCAATTAATTTGCTAAATGCCCTTCCAAAAATATTTTTCTTAAATTATTATTAACAATTCCATTCTACATTTACTCGTCGAATCATCTTCATTCCTTCGCTTTATTAATTAATTTTCCTACATTTTCTATAACTGAAAAACCCTTACGATTCATAGCAGGTCCCTGACCAGGCATCACAGGCCCCCTATACCCTGGCTGACCCATGGGCTGCCCCTGTGGAAATCCTGACATCGGTAATGGCTGTTGGGCATTGGGTGGCATGTCACCACCTGGTCCAGCTGCATTGGGGGGAGCTCCCCCCAGCGCCGGAGGCCCCTGGGGGCCCATCATCGGATGCTGGGGCCCATTGGCAATCGGCTGCATCCCCAGGGGTGGCTGTAATCCCCAAAAACCATTTATCATTTCCAAAGAAAAATAAGAACTAATCTCCTTAGAAAATAATTCTCAGGCACTAAAGGTTTTCTTAAATTGAATTTTTAGGAAAAGAATTTAAATATCCAATTCATTATGAATAAAGAATTAAATTACAGGCAGCAGAGCTTGAATATTCTGATTGGCATCAGCAATTGACGCCAAGTACACGAGATTTCTGTGTAAAATCTGCTGATATTGGATGCACTCTTGGGGTTTTCCTTTGTTCTGGAAGTCCTGGATCGTCTGGATCAAGTGACTATTTTCATCTAGCATCTGAAATAAAAATAAAACATTGAATTGATAAAAAAACTTTCCATTTTGATTCACAAATTTGGTTATTTTCCATTATTTTTTTTCTGGCATTACTTCATTATATTGTTTCAATTATGCAGAAAAATCTAGAAAATTTTATAGAAATTCTATTGAATCCTATTGAAAATGCTATTAAATTTGGCCTATTCTATTCAATTGAATACCTTTACTGAGCGTTTTTTCATAAGAATTTCCAATAGAAACTATTTTATAGAAAAAATCAGTAGATTTTTATTTTTGTTCACAACTTTCTCTACTGAGTAATTTTCAAGAGAAATTCCTCAATATGAATTTTACCAATTTCTTCATTCAATTTTTTTCTTTTCATGAAAAAAATTAAACAAAAAATTTAGAAAATTTGAGCTGAGAAATTTCAATAGAATAAGTTGCACAGAAAAAATCGAATTCTATTGTCATTCTCTCTATAAAACATGTTCCATCAGAACTAATAGAAAATTTATTAGAATTCCAACAAAATTTTTATCCTATTCACCAGGTTTTTTTAATAAAATTTTGTTGTACGTGTTGTCTTCGCTATTCCCTCCCCTGGCACTATTTTACTATATTCTATAGATTTTTAAATCTATATCACTCAAATTATTTCACCCAGTAATTGGCATTCTATTGACTCTATAAAACCCTGACTAAAAAATAAACTAAAAACCTTCGAATTTCTACAGTTATCAATGAAAATAGAAGAGAGGAGAATAAATCGTTCGTAATAAAAGAGTATTTCACCCAAAAAATGACCTTTTGTATCTGCGCTGGGCTCGGTGGCGGCCGGCCGCGTTGTGCAAAGGTCACCGACATCCAGACCCTCAATTATCCCCACAACAATGTGAAACCACCGGCTCCAATCCCCCAAAATCCACTCCAAACTCTCACTCGTCGTCAGAGTCACTCAAAGTCTATCAAAATATATCTCAGGGATCATGAAAGGATGCAGACTCCAATCAGGAGTCCAGTCCTTCGTCAAACAACGTTGCCTGCGAGTCCTTCATAACTCGATATATTTGTGGAAATCAATGAAAAACTGGTGGTGATGATGCTGAACTGTTCACAACACGAAAGTCCTGAATTTATTCGGCACCAGAATTGTTGGGTTTTATTTTTAGTGCAGCTTTTGCGTGAAATGAAGAAAGAACGTATTTACTTGGGGGAAATAGCTTGCGTAGCAGCCATTTGTAATCCGGAGGCATTCTCACGGGTAGTTCTCGGCTTCGCGGTGTGGTCTGAGAGGCGCTGGGGGTCAAGGGCCAATAGGGCAGTGATTTTATCGATAGAGTGGAGGGAAATTACGAAAGGAGAATTTTATCGTTTGGAATGAATCATTTTCAGACACAAGATCTATGCGCGCGCTCTCGCGCGCGCTGATCTATTCATTTGTTGACATGAAGAAATGGAATTCATTGAATTTCATTTTCTCATGAATACCTTATAAATATTGATAATGAGTCAAAGAGAATTCGACTAATGATTGAAGTGAATAGCGAAGTAGAGTAAAAGAATCTATAAAGAATTTTTCATTTTCAATTAATTATCTTCAATTTTTTAAAATAATCGGTCTCCATAAAAGGACAGAATTTATTAATTTCACCGATAATATATATACATGTGAAATATATATATTATATACATATATGAGGTGAAAAAAAAATTTACCTCTGAAGAATTTGAAATTATGTCACTGAAGAATTTGAAAATGCCGCGTTTTTTTTTGTGAATAACTTCGTGTCACATATTGACCAATCAGAGTTAAGGATTAGCGGTCAGGCAGTTTCGAGATATTTCGATATAAAACAACTTCACGTTTCTTTCTTCTTTAGTAAATAGGACGAGATCTATGCGCGCGCCCGCGCGCGCACTGATCTATTCATTTGTTAAAATGAAGAAATGGAATTCATTGAATTTCATGTTCTCATGAATACCTTATAAATATTGATAATGAATCAAAGAGAATTCGACTAATGATTGAAGTGAATAGCGAAGTAGAGTAAAAGAATNTCAATGTTTTAAAATAATCGGTCTCCATAAAAGGACAGAATTTATTAATTTCACCGATAATATATATATACATGTGAAATATATATATTATATACATATATGAGGTGAAAAAAAAATTTACCTGAAGAATTTGAAATTATGTCACTGAAGAATTTGAAAATGCCGCGTTTTTTTTGTGAATAACTTCGTGTCACATATTGGACAAATCACAGTTAAAGATTAGCGGTCAGGCAGTTTCGAGATATTTCGATATAAAACAACTTCACGTTTCGTTCATCTTTAGTAAATAGGATATTCAGCCAATGAGCGATTTTCTGCTGCACCAGTGGCTCCATAATCTCCACAAATCGCCGCACGTTCCCACGTGAATTTCGGGGTTGTCAATCAACAGGTTATGAAACTGTAAACAATTCCTTTAAAAAATTAAGTCAAGTGTTTTTAATTGGTAAAAGTGGGAATGAGTGGCCCCAGGCGCTGGAATAAATTCAACAGGAATAAGAGGAAATCCCCTGGCGACCCGGGACCGTCGAAGGATCCTGGTGATAACCCGGAAGACGACTCGGAGGGACCTGCGAAACCGGAGAATAGTAATGAGGATGACCCGGCATTGGACGTCTACGAGGCTCAACTGAACCCAGACAACTCGTTATACGGTTTGTAGTGATATTGGTATTCAATGAATGTGTAATTCGCGTGTTTATTCATTAATTTTCATCAAGTTTTTTTTTACTAGGGGAGGGTAGAGTAAAATAGACACTTTTGACTTTTTAAAAAATATTCATAGCTCAGAAACAGATTTATCAATTGAGCTCAGTCTCAGCTCATCACAAAGAGGAATCATTGTTTTTCAATTGAAAAATAAAATTATTCCATTTCATAAACAATTCAACACGTCATGAATATTTAAAAAAAAGTCCAGTGTCCGTTTTACCCTACCCTCCCCTATTAATAGTTCATCGTTTTTTTTACAATTTTTTGTTTTTGCTTCTGAATGGAAGCTTGAATCGTTCAAATTTAAATTATGGATTTTTTGTTTTGTATTATTTCTGGGGAACAATTATTTTCCCCAGAAAAAATATCCCATTTATCCTACAGTGGCCTTTAAAGAAAAGTCAAGTATTCATTTTGCCCCACTAGCCCTTAATGAAAAATAATATATCAAGTTAAATTTTCCTGAAGGACAGAAGGCAATGATGTGCAAAATAACCATTCGGAAGCATCACGGACGAAAAAATTTAATAGAAAAACCTATCGAATTCGTTAGAAAATTCTATTGAATTTCTATTGAACTGTTCTATTATTTTTGGCCGATTCTATTGTTCAATAGAAAATATTCAGTAGAAAAAGTCAATAGAATTCAATTTTTCTATATAACTTATTCTATTGAGATATTTTCTATAGAATTTCCTCGGATCAAATTTTCCAAGTTTTTCGTTTGATTTTCTCGATGAAACGAAAACAAAACTAGAATGAAAAAAACTTTGAAAATTTGAGTCAAGCAAATTCTACAGAAAATATATAAAAAGCTTATGCTTTTGCGAATATTCTGTATTTTTTGAAAATCAGAATTCCGGAGATACCTTTGAATATCATGCTTCAAAGAATTCAATCATAGCTTAAAATGTTTTTTTAATGCCATTAAATCGAAGTTAAAAGATGAATTAGAGAATCGAATTCTGTAAACTTTTTCTATTCAGCCAAAAACTAATAGAAAGTTCAATAGAAATTCACTAGAATTTCCCAACGAATTCGATAGGTTTCTCTATTAAATTTTTCACGCATGATATTGCTAATTTATAATCCAAATAGTATATTTCGTAACGAGTGCAAAAAAGTGTTTTTCATCACGCTGTGACGAAAAGTGAACTTTTCGGCACGCTCCGCGTGCCTGAAAGTCCAATTTCCGCCACATTGTGATGAAAAATATTGTTCGTAACTCGTGAAAAAATGTTCTTTAGCTCGTGGGATTATATCATTCGCCTTCGGCTCGTGATATAAACCTCCCACTCGCCAAAAAACACTTTTTTGCACTCGTTACGAAATATACTATTTCATCACGCTGTGACGAAAAGTGAACTTTTCGGCACGCTCCGCGTGCCTGAAAGTCCAATTTCCGCCACATTGTGATGAAAAATATTGTTCGTAACTCGTGAAAAAATGTTCTTTAGCTCGTGGGATTATATCATTCGCCTTCGGCTCGTGATATAAACCTCCCACTCGCCAAAAAACACTTTTTTGCACTCGTTACGAAATATACTATTTCATCACGCTGTGACGAAAAGTGAACTTTTCGGCACGCTCCGCGTGCCTGAAAGTCCAATTTCCGCCACATTGTGATGAAAAATATTGTTCGTAACTCGTGAAAAAATGTTCTTTAGCTCGTGGGATTATATCATTCGCCTTCGGCTCGTGATATAAACCTCCCACTCACCAAAAAACACTTTTTTGCACTCGTTACGAAATATACTATTTTGGCGAGTGGGAGGTTTATATCACGAGCTGAAGGCGAGTGATATAATCCCACGAGCCAAAGAACATTTTTTCATGAGTTACGAACAATATTTTTCATCACAATGTGGCGGAAATTCACTTTTCGTCACAGCGTGATGAAAATACCTATGATACATGCAATACAAGAGCAATTTCCCACCGGACCCATTCCCTGGAATTCCCTGAATTCCAGGCTTCCACCTCTACTTCGACAAACTCCCCAAAGCCACCGAGAAGCGCGTAATCGATCGAGCGCGATCATCGGAATCGTTCTTCAAGCGCAACCCTGACGCCCTGATCCCCAGCAAGTCCGGGCCGTCCTTCAACGTCGACATGAAGCGCCTCTCGAGCGACCGAGAGTTCTCCGAAGACTGGGAGGCCTTCAGCGAGGACATCGAGAGAAGCCCCAGAGAGACCCTGAACACCCTGGGTCTGGCGCTCCACCAGGTGCTGGTGAAGTCCCAGTTGAGTAAAACAGGCCTCAACTCCAAGGAAGACATCAACCTGCCGACGATCAGAGTCAAGCTGATCAACTACAAGCCCCTGGTGGCCCTCCGAGACATAATGATCGATTCCTACGGGAAGCTGATAGCCACCCGAGGCTGTGTGATTCGCGTGGGAAGGGCCAAGTACATGGCCCAGTGGTTGCCCTTCTCCTGCGACAAATGCCACCACTGGACGGTGATGCGCCAGCCCGAGGGCATCTACAAATTCCCGAAGAAGTGCAAGGCCTGCGGAGCCTGCAAATTCACCCCCAGATTGGACTCCCCCCACGTGAAGACAATTCCATTTCTCGTGATTAAATTGCAGGAGCATTTCGACGACAAACAGGACGAGAAGGGCAAGATGCCGAGGGTTGTGGAGGTGGAGCTGATCGACGATCTGGTGGACAGCTGCATGCCCGGAGACGACATCACCATCGTGGGGATCGTGAAGATCCGGGGGACTGACGACGGCTCGGAAACGAGAAAGGCGACGGCTGAGGCCAATGCACTGTACATCGAGGCGATTTCAGTGATGAATAATAAGAATAAGACGAGGAACAGAACGGCCCTGGGGGTCGACCTGGATCACCAGGACTACGTTTTCATCAAGCATATTCATGACAATGCGGATGTGTTCTCGTTGCTGGTGCGGTCGCTGTGCCCCGCCATTTATGGGAATGAGATGATCAAGGCTGGACTGCTGCTGAGCCTGTTTGGGGGGTGCGCCAAGCATGATTCATTGAGGAATGATCTCCATGTGCTGCTGGTGGGGGATCCTGGGCTGGGAAAGTCGCAGCTGCTGCAGGCGTGCTCGAGGGTTTGCACCAAAGGTGAGGGGGTTTTTGGGGGGATCGATGGGAATAGAGTTTTTAATTGTTGAGGATGATTGAATGTGCTTCATGAATTTTAGTTATTTTATGGATTATTAACGTCCCGATAGGGGAGTTATTGTTTTGTACGCTATTTTGCATACAATTTTGATTACTTCAAAATTATAGAATGTAGAATTGCTTTATGGGGATTGAATATGTATTTTTCGATGGGAATACGAAATTTGGAATTTGGAATCGTGGAGGATGATTTCATGTGTTTCATGAATTTTAATTATTATTTTATGTATTTTTTTGTGTTATTTTGCATACAATTTTAATTATTTCAAAATTATAGAATGTAGAATTGCGTTATGGGGATTGAATATATATTTTTGCATTTGAATGGAAGCATTTTATTCGTTAAATTTGAAATTTCCAATTGTTTGTGTCGGGATAGTTAAATTTGACTTCAGGAGTTTGAATGTTATTTTTAGACCGGGATAACTGAAAAAATAATTGTTTGGATCAACCCAATTGTGATTTAAAATATTCTTCCCAATGTTATCTTCATCGAGTTGGATGATGAGATTGATTACATCATTTGTTGTTCTAAAAATTTATTTTGGAACCAATATTTAGGGGGAAGGAGAAAATATTGTTGGGGCAATGTTGGCGGCCAACGTTGGGACAACGTTGGGGCAATGTTGGCCGCCAACATTGGGGTAATGCTGGCTGGCAGCGTTAGTACAATGTTGGCTCAATGTTGGCGGCCAACATTGTCCCGACATGGACCCAATGTTGGTAGCCAACATTGCCCCGACATAGTCCCAATATTGAACGTCGACGTTGGGACAATGGTGGGGCAATGTTGGCTGCCAACGTTAAGAGAATGTTGGCTGCCAACGTTGGGTCAATGTTGGCTTTCAACATTGCCCCGACATAACTCCAATGTTGGCAGCCAGTATTGCCCCGACATAACTCCAATGTTTCCTGCCAACGTTGGCACAATGTTGGGGCAATGCTGGCTGCCAACATTGGGCCAATGTTGGGACAATCTTGTCTGTCAACGTTGGGGCAATGATAGTTTCCAATTTTGGGACAATGCTGGCTGTTAACGTTGGGCCAATATTGGCAGCCAACATTGGCAGAATGTTGGGGGAATGTTGGCTACCAATTTCGAGGCAATATTGGCTGCCACTTGATAAAAATTCCCCAGGAGTCATCCCCCCTCTAACCCATCAACTCCCCTTGTAGGTGTCTACGTCTGCGGTAATTCCAGCACAACATCCGGACTAACCGTGACCCTCACCAAGGAAAACGGTACAAACGACTTCGCCCTGGAGCCAGGCGCCCTAGTCCTCGCAGACAAGGGCACGTGTTTCATCGACGAATTCGACAAAATGCCGACCCAGCATCAGGCACTGCTGGAGGCGATGGAGCAGTCGAGTGTCTCAGTGGCCAAGTCCGGGATAATTTGCTCCCTCCCAGCCAGAACCTCGATAGTGGCAGCTGCTAATCCAACAGGTGGAAAGTACAACCGAGCGAAGGGCTTCACCGAGAACCTGAATCTCAGCGAGCCCCTCCTCTCACGATTCGATCTTATTTTCCTGCTGTTGGACGAGCCCAGCGAGCAGATGGACACCTTGATGTGCGCTCACGTGATGAATGCACACACTGGCTTCAAAAAAATCCATCCAACTCGGTCAACATCGAATCTCACTGAATTCAACGTGAACAGGGCCAATCACACGCTGAACACTGCTCTCACACTCAGGGAGAGGCTGTCGTTGAGGGGAAGTAGAGACGATCTCGTCCCTCAGTCCATCCTCAGGAAGTACGTGTCGTACGCGAGACTCTATGTCAAGCCCAAACTGACTCCTGAAGCCGCCAACAGACTCAGGGACTACTATCTGCTCCTTCGACAGAATAATAACATCTTTGGGCATCTGCCTGTCTTCCACAGGCAGCTGGAGGCGCTGATTCGACTGACCGAGGCTCGAGCCAAGCTGGAGCTGCGAACCGAAGCCACTGATGCTGACGCACTGGAGATCATCGAGATTTATAAACACACTTTGGCTAGTGTCCCCTCGATTGGGAATGGTGGGCCCTCGGTCAGTCGTGAGTCTGGGAAAATTACTGGGAATAAAGTCTCGGCGTTTATTTCGCTGCTGCAGGAGTCGGAGCAGGAGAGGGGACAGACGCTTTTCTCGAAGACTGATTTGATGGAAATAGCCACTCAGGGGGGAATCATCATTAATGAGTTCTCGAGGTTCATTAGGAAACTCAATGATGAGGGGTTCTTGATTAAAAGGGGACATGATTTGTATAAATTTGTTAATATGTAATTTATTTTGTGGGTGGTGAGGTAGTTTATTTGTTAAATGTAGATATTGGGGATAATGGAGATGAAGAAGATATTGTTAATATGGCTTCATGATAATTTGTGGTGTAAATGAATAAAAAAATTATAATAAATATTTATAAAAAATAGTTTAAAAAATTATGGCTCAAAAACATTATCTCAGGCACTTTTTCAAGTGTTTCATACAGATAAAAATGTTTACATACAGATAAAAAAAATGTGTGCATTATACTAAAAAATTACATTCAATAAAAAATGTTGAAAAAGTTGAAAATATAAATGATGAATTGACGTGATAAAATGACGAATGTTTAAATTGTTGTGATATTTAGACGTGTCACCAAAGGGACATTATCTTTGTAGATTTGTTTCTGTGTAAAATAGATAGTTAATTGGTCATTCGTTGAAATATATGTTATTTGGATAATGAAAAGACGAGAGATATTATTAACATCATTTTATTATAATTAATAGTTCGAAATTGCTTATAAATTATGACGATGAATTTGAATCATAAGGACTAGGAAAAAATGGTTCATCAATTTTTCAATTATCGTTTTCCATTCATTTAGCTTCCGCCTCTCAACATCTTAATTAACAATTACAGTTGTGATAATTCGCCTGTTATTTCATGGAATTTCAATGACATACCAAGAGAAACGTGCTGCTGTCGAAATCAATGAAAAAACGTTATCACTCAGAAATTACGAGAGTAAAAGTCAGTTTGTTGGCATATCAAAGTTGCCAGCAACTTCAGACTCCGAGAAAATCATGATTCCGCTGTAATTTGTCGTCGCAATTCAACTCCTGATGATCAAACAATCGAATACAATGACAAATAATAAGTTAAATGATTTATTGTAGCGTTAGATGTAATGATTGCGTCAATTATTATAATTCATTAATAGAATTCCATTGCCGCTGTCGAGTCCAAAGTCATAATTCAGTGATTATACCCTACATAAATAACTCGTTATGCTGTTCTCCATTTTTCATTTGCTAATAGAATTTAATATATACAGGTATATATTGAAGATATATATAAACGATATATTAAATAGTATATTTATCAGTATGATGGATATCCCTCGATCCGAAAACGGTAACAGAATTCACTCGCACAATCGCACTCAATTCATTTTTCCATTCATTATTATCTCAATCGTTTTATTGAATTACTAATTTCGCCTCGAGTTCTCAAATACTCAAATCTCTCTTACGCAATGGCCTTTAGAGGAGACAGTCCAGATCGCAACTTCGATATATCACATTGCAATTAACAATTACACAGCACAGCCAGCGACCACATTGATTTAATGAACAAAATGCCTTGCCATTTCTCTCACATTTCCGTCATTTTTTCTCTCCATCAACTCCATCAATCCTCGTATTTGCGCAATTTCTCAACATCATCTCGTAATTTATTCAGGAAGAGCTACATTTTCTTAATATAAATTTCTTTTCCAACAGATTTCACCTCAATTTGGTCATTAACGGCTACAATAAATTGCAGAAGCGAATACCTTTAAAATGCGACATGATTCTCTAATGTTTATTTATCGTAATTACCTAGGGGTCGGGGGCGCCTGAGAGAGTGGAAATGCCGGTGAATAAATTTTACGAGAAATAATTTTACTCGGCTTCGTCACTCTCTCGTGCGCCCACTCGCGTTTTTTATTTGTCTATTCAATTTTTAAAATCGGGTATATGCACGTCTCTCAATAATTTCGATCGGAAGGAAATTCAAATGAGTCTTGTGACGAGTAGAATTGCGAGTGACATAACAAAGAGTAAAAATAAAACAATAGTAAAGTTATGGGAAGAAATAAAAATCCAGTTTCCATAGATTCTCGGGATGAGTAGAAATAGGTGAACAAATGATGCTTGAAAAATTTCATTCTCTCGTACTAAGTATACAATTGGGCGAAACATTATTTCGCGAGTTCAGACAACAGGAATAATACTATTAGTTAATTTATATCGTCTATTTATAGTGATAGGTTTAGTAGATTTTTTACGCTGTATTTTTGTTAGTGTTAATTGGAGATTATGTACATTGATTGGGAGGAAAGGGATGTGATCCGGGGGTTACAGTATGTACAGTTCATTGTGTGCTGTGCATTGTTCGATGAAATTATCCTGTCTTTTTTTTGAATTTTTTTTTTTCGCTGGAACGAGAGCTATTGGAATTATTCTGGTGTGAATGTCCCTTTCCTCGTCGCATTTAACACTTTAGACGGCCCTTTCTCCTCTTCGTGCAATAGTTAACTCATCAGACTGATTATTATTTGCGGCTCTTCATATGTTAGGTAATGTCGATTGATCCACTGATTGGCCAGTGGCACACGAGTCAAACGGAACACTTTTTGGCATCCTTAGTACCCCGATTAATCTTTTGGAAAGTTTAACGAGAACACTTTGTTTTAGTTTTTTAGATTAGGGCTGACAACATCGGGTTGTGTCGTTATTTACAGGCGTGATATATGGGGTGGGCGGGATTATTGGGGGTGGAGGTGTTCACGTATGAGAAAATGTAATGGACAGGCAGGAAAAAATTAATAGAAAAAGGTAGCGAATTCGCTGGACAATTCGTTGGATTTCGATTGAATTTTCGATTAGCTTTTGGAGGATTTTATGAAAATATTCAAAAGAATTCGATTTTTCTGTACAACTTATTCTATTGAGATGTTTTCTGCAGAATTTCCTCGGCTAAAATTTTCTAATTCTTCTGCTTGATTTTTTAATGAGAAAAAAGAATGGAAAAAACTCGGGAAATTCATGTCGAGGAATTCCTAGAGCTTTTTCATTATATTTTTATTTTATTTTCATCAAGAAAGTTAAACGAAAGAAATTGGAAAGTTTGAGCTGAGGAATCTCAATAGAATAAGTTGTAGAGAAAAATCGAATTCTATTAATTTTTTCTATAGAATATTTTCAGGAGAATTCGAAGAATTACTGGAGTTCTATTAGAATTTTATTGAAAAATTCTGTTTATTTTTTGCGTCAATTTTATTGAATATTGTGCAGTTTTCCCTGCGATTTTAAATAGATATTTGTTTACAAAAAAGCCTGGAGATGTTGAGTTTTCTAGATGACTCGTTTCCTTGGGATTTTTAATGCAAAAATTCTTGGCCATGAATTTTTTAAATTTTTATCTTTGATTTTATTATGAAAAATAAACAAAAATAATAAAGAATTTCTATGGAAAAATAAAAGTTTATTGACTTTTTTTAATTAAATATCTCTGGTAATCTTGCATAATCTTAAAAACAAATCGAATTTTTTAATAGAATTCCAATAAAAATTCAGGAGAATTGTTTAGAGAAAGCGCTGAGTTTTTCTATTAATGTTTTCAGGCGTGTCGGTGTGACGCGTGAGGGGAGAAATTCATTTGATGTGAATAATTATTTATTGATGGCTAGGGGAAGTTGTACGGTAATTGAGAAAAGCTCAAGAATTTTATTTTTATTGTATTTTTTGGAATTTTCTGGGAAAAGTCTCCTGAAGAATTTGTTTCAATGACTTTGGAGATTTCGAATAAACTCAGTCTTATTCAAAAAATTGATTTGAAAATATCTGTGGAATTATTAAATTTAGAGAGAAATTTTCAAAGATTATTTTGTGGTTTATGACATTTTTGTAGGAAACAAGACTCCTGATGAATTCTACAGAATTTCAGAGACATTTATGAACCAATTTGGGAATACAATAGATTATTTATTATTAGATTTCGTGTAGATTAATTTGGCAATGGCTGAAGTTAACGGATTCAGAAAAAAAAATTAAAATACTTCCCTCGTAACTCGTGAAATTCTCTACAAAGAAAATTTCTCTTCATCCCAGAAAACATCCAAAATACCACAGAAAATTCCTTTTCAATTCATTCTCTCCCACCACTTCGTCAAATTTACTTTCATGACCCAAAAAAACTCCAGTGAAAAAAAAAAAATCCTGACCCCCAATCACCCCCAACTCCCCTTCACCGCCAATGAAACGCACGAAAAAATTTAATAGAAAAATCTAGCGAATTCGCTAGACAATTCTATTGGATTTCTATTGAATTTTCTGTTAGTTTTCCGCCGATTCTATTGAATGATCTTATTCTATTGAAATATTTTCTATGGAATTTCTTCGATTCAAATTCTCCAAGTTTTTTTATTTGATTTTCCTGATGGAAAGAAAAGAGAAATAGAATGAAAATAACTTGGAAAATTTGAGCCGAGGAAATGCTATAGAAAATATCACAATAGAATAAGTTGTATCGAAAAATCGAATTCTATTGAATTTTTCTATAAAATATTTTCTCTTTCCATTATTTTTCGACGGCACTTTTCATTAAATAAATGATTATTTCTTTAGCTTACCGATCATTTTACATAGATCTGTTGGAATGAGCAATGATTCATATTATTTTATGATTAAAAAAAATTTCTCATTATAGAATATAGAAAAACTGTTTAATATATAATCTCTCTATATTATAAAAATCCAAATCGACTTGGAGATAAAAATTTGGTACTCAAAATTAAGACTCCACAATTATTGTGACCACAAAGGTCAAAATAATGGTCATGAGGGTCAGAATAGGGGTCTAAGGATCAGAATCAGAGTCATAAGGGTCACGAAGGTCAGGATAAGGTCATGAGGGTCAAAATAAGGTCTCAAGGTTCGGATTAAGGGCCACAAGGATCAGTTTAGGGGTCATGAGGGTCAAAATAAGGTCTCGAAAGTCCGATAAAGGCCCAGGAGTGTCAGAATAAGGGTCACCAGGGCTAGATTAAGGGCCACAGGGGTCAAATTAAGGGTCACAAAGGGTATAATGAGGGTCATGAGGGTCACAAGGGCCAGAATAAGGGGTATGAGGGTAGCCCCCTAGTATTTTCTATCGAACATTTCAATAGAATCGGCCAAAAACTAATATAAACTCCAACAGAAATCCGACAGAATTGTCCAACGAATTCGCTAAGTTTTTCCATGGATTTTTTTCACACGTGAATCTCCCCTCAGCTTGTGTTACGTATTCTAAATTCTCATGTCATTCAGTCTAAAATTTCCCTCAGTCAGTCCTTCACACGGAAATCTCTAGTCCATTCACATCCACCGTTCACCCACAATTCACTCACTCTCGAAAATCATTCAGACGAGTCACTTCCTGCTGTTACCTCCTGTCTTATCACTCACTCAGTAACTGGAATTCTCTGGAAAAAAAAAA